TTGATACTCTTCCTCGAATTAAGTCCCAGAAATGAAGTTCTAGCTCCAACCACACATGTGGGTTTGCCTTTTAGTAATAATAATTAATAGCAGCAGCAGCTTTCTCTTATACTGGATCAGGTCTGTGCCAGGCACTATTCTGAGGTCCTTAACATAGTCGGTTAGCCCCCTCGACGGTTCTATGAGGTTCAACATCATTTCATCCCCATTTTACAGATGAGGAACCTGAGACCCACGATGAAAGCTGTCCAGCCCCTCCGACATCCCTGTCAGTGTCTCCGGCAGCTCCGGCCGAGACTCCGTGCAAAAGAGCCTAACACACACCGGGCCTCTGCCGACCACGGTGTCTTTTGCTGCATTTCCATCTTTGTCTACTTGCATCATGTTCTGTTTTGCCGCCAATCCCCAAAACTCAGAAGTAGGTGTGGTAAAAATCCTACATGATTCTTGGAATCAATTTCTTCAATTATCTGTACCCTTAATTAATTCATCCAATAAATGACATCTGATAGTGAGGCTTCTAGGGACGGAGCAGGGGGCAGACTGGAGGCCCAGATCATACAGCACCCCAGGGGACACAGCAAGGAAGCTGGATTTTATCTCATGGTAACGAGAAGCTGATCACAACGGCTAACCTTTAGGCTAGGAGCATGGGCTCCAGAGCCAGATGGTCTGGGTTTGAATCCCGACCGTATCACTCACCAAATGCAGGACCCAGGGTGAGCAGCCTACTGCCACAGACCCCTCCTCGGGAGGAGAGCCCAGGCCCCTGAGCCCCCAGGGTAGCTGGGGCTTTGGTCCAGCTGCCCCTGGCAACGGAGGAAGCTGTGGTCTGGGCAAGCACTTCCGGTGCTCTGATTCCTCTCTCCAATTACTCAGCTCTGCACCCTCATGGGGTTCCAGCGAGTCCGACCAAGCTCAGCACGGCACACTAGGGTCCAACTGGCACGTCCTCCACGCAGGGCAAACCTCAGCAAGCACCCGCTGGACGCCCAGCACTCAGAGAAGAGGCCAAGGTGCCACAGGCGTGATCCCCCCACATCCCTCCTGGCTCCTCCGCCAAGACAACAGAAGCTCGATCCTGCATGAGAGAGCACCAGCCAGGTGCCCGGCACGCAGTAGGCACTTCATGAATACTCACCTATCTACTGTGAAAAATACCTCACTGGACAGGTACGAAGAATGGACTGCACCCATCCAGAGGGGAAAAGCCTGGAATCTGATGGAGTCACAGGATAATTCAGCATGCCCAAGCCCTGTCCCATCAGTGGCCTCTTACCATCCTGGGCTTGGGCTCTGATGTGACAGACTCTGGAATCCACACACTTGGAGCTGAGTCCTGGCTCTGCTGCTAATTTCATTTGAGACTTTGGGCCTCTGAATCCCCGCTGGTAATACTGGTGATTTGGACCAGGTGTTTGTGAACTCTTAGAGCCACTTGGCTTCTTCTTTTTTTTTTTTTAAAGATTTTATTTATTTATTTGACAGAGAGAGACACAGTGAGAGAGGGAACACAAGCAGGGGGAGTGAGAGAGGGAGAAGCAGGCTTCCCGCAGAGCAGGGAGCCCGACGCGGGGCTCGATCCCAGGACCCTGGGATCATGACCTGAGCCGAAGGCAGACGCTTAACGACTGAGCCACCCAGGCGCCCCTAGCCACTTGGCTTCTAAAGGCACATTTACTGGTGTCCCATTCTGTGCCCAGCCCTGGGCTCAAGGATCCCGCCCTGCTGGAGGGGAGCCTCTGCACTAGGGGCACACAGAGTACTTGCTCTACCCTGGAGGACCTCCTGGGGGAGGTGATCCTAAGCTGGGTCTCACAGGATGAGTAGGAGGTGGGCAGGTGAACGAATGAGGGTCCACATGTGGCACCAAGCAGTCACAGTCGGACTAATGTGACTTAGTGAAGGAACTCTGGGAGACAGGAAGGGACAGGAAGGGACGTCTGGAGTCCAGAGAACAATTAGGGGCAGGTGCTGGGATCCAGGTGGCCTGTGGACATCCCAGCTGGAGCTGACTATAGAATGTTCTGGCCTAGGGGCTGAGGACTCCTCAGGCCACAGTTGGAGGCAAGGCCATGGGAGCAGACAGGACTGTCAAGAGAGGCTGCAGAGGGCAGCTGTCAGCAGGAACAAGGTAGGAGAATGCCAGCACCCCCCAGCTTAGAGCAGGAAGAGAGGTGCAGGACTGTGCTCCCCAATGTGTTCCCCACTCAGGAGGACAGGGTCCTCAGGCTTTGTTCCCAGTACCCCCCACTCAGCACAGGGAAGACACATGGCAGGTGCTCAGCAAACGTTTGGGTTTTTTAAAAATCCTTTCAGTTGGATCAAGGAAACCAGGAGGGGTGGGGGAAAGTGAAGCCTAGGGGAGTGGGTCCGCCAGGAGGAGGGAGCAGCTTCCAGCCTCAGGGCCGCTGGGAGGTCAAGGCCACTGGTTTGGGCTGCAGGTGGGTAAAGAGGGACTGGCAGACAGTGAGTATGGAAACTCTCTCCAGACCTTCTGATGGAAAATAGACCAGGCAGAGGGAGAAGGAGGGAGGGGAAGGGGGGCTGAAGGAGGCTGAGGGGAGCAGGAGGGAGAGAACAGCAGCACAGGGGAGTGTGGAGACAAGGAAGGGTCTAAATACCAAACCAGCTGCTTGCTGAGTGACCTCAGGAGAGTCGACTCTCTGAGCCTCAGTTTCCCCAACTGTAAAATGGAAAGGAAGTAGCCCCATGTGGGTTACAGGGAGCATCAAATGAGTGAACCATGTGAAGCATCTAGCACAGTGTCCAGAGCGCCACAGGTCCCCAGAGAAGATACCACTGTCACCCTCTCATGTGAGCCCCACTCTACCCCCCTGTTTGCACATGAAGAAACTGAGTCACAGACAGATGAGCAGCTGGCCAGCACCCATGCTCTCAGTCCCACCCCAAACACGCAGCAGCACCAGCCCCTTGCTGCCGTGGGAAAGGTACCTGGCCCTGAGCCCGGTACGAGAGACATCTGTTGATTGAATGAACGGGACAGACTGAGACAGAAACCAGAAGAAGGCTGTCCTGGCCTGGGGTCAGCAGTGCTGCAGAAGAAAAAGAGGGACCCCAGAAGGTAGCCAATCCGAGCCAGGCTCAGAACCCCAGGCACCACCCACCGCAGGGATTCTCACTCCAGAGTGTCCCTCACGTTCACCCGGAGAGCCTGTTAAAACTCAGATTCCTGGACCCCACTCCGGACCTACTGAGTCCAAGTAGCAAAGGGAAGAGTTCAGGGATGTGCACTTCTAACCTGTGCCCAGGTGAGGCCAAAGCAGCTGGCCCTTGGGCCACAATTTGAAAGAGATGGATGGACATGCCCTTATTTTATAGAGGAGAGAACCAAGGTCCAGAGAGGGGAAGAACTAAGAATGAGATCACAGGCAAAGCCATACAGGGCCTGACTGATAAGCTAGCTGGTTGTCCAGGTCCCAGGCCACTGTCACTCCTGGTGCCTGCAGGAGCCCCAGAGGGCAGAGTGGAAGGCAGGGACAGGGAGAGCCGAGGGAAAGAAGGAAGAGAAAGTACAGGATAATAGCTCACATCTAAGGCAAGTACAATTCAAGAGGTAACGCCGATTGCCAAGCCCTCACAGCTGCCATGTGTCAGGACATGAACCCAGATCTGTCTGACGCTAGTCGACCCCCAAACCACCTATCCACACTGCCTCCCAGAGAAGCCAGAAAAGGAAGAAGGGAGAAGAGGAAGGGGCAGCCGCAGCAGGTCTGGCAGAGGCCCCAGGAGAGAGAGGAGGCCGGGCCTGTGCAGAGAGGGGGCAGTGTGCCCTCTGTGCCAGGCCAGGTGGCCGAGCCAGGCTGGCTGCTGCGGGCCAGGGAGCGCCTGCCCATCTCGGTGCCCCACGGTTGCCATGCCGACCCCCAGGCTGTGTTTGCGGATGTTGTATTTGATTTCACACTTTTGGAACTCCAATTACGTCATTTCGCAACACAGGGTTGCCATGACAGCCAGCCCCATGTTCCCGGGTGGCTCACACCTTGGGAGAGGGGGAGGGGCTAGCTGGCTCCCCCCCACCACCACCAAAAGTTAACCCAGAACCCATTCTGGGGAGGCCAGGAATGTGGGGCTGGGAAGCACCTTAGGGATCAGTTAACATCTACATTTTGTGATGGGGAAACTGAGGTCTGGATGGCGAGGATACACTTCCTGACCCCATCCCCAACCAATGCGCTCCCCTCGCCCCATGCCCCACACCCCTTCTGATGGAGTCTTTGCACACCTGGCTGCTCACGGGTTGAGGGGCTGACAGCTGGCGCCCCCAGCAATCAGCCTGGCCGCCTGCCCTGACCCTGCTCTCTGGGGATCCAAAGCCCCTGGTCAATATGCTACATTTACAGACTCATGCATGAGCAAGTGTGGAGGTGGGCTGGTGTCAGACTGGGTTCAAATGCTGGCTTCCCACTAACTAAGAATGAGCTCTAGCCAAGTGGGGCCCCCTCACTGAGCTTCTATTTCTACACCTGAAAACACTTCCAGAGGTAAAAGAAACTCCAACTAACACTATTGCATCTACTAGGTTAATAGGTGTTCTAGTAGATGCAATAGTGTTAGTTGGGGTTCATTCGTTCGTTCGTTCCTTCCTTCCTTCCTTCCTTCTTTCCTTCCTTCCTTCCTTCTTTTTTTGTCATTGCCCTGTCATCGTATCATCGTAGCTAAGTTCTAGACTCTGCAACCAACCTGCTCTGTGACTTTGGACTTTGGGCAACTGACTTTCCTTCTCTGGTCCTCTAAGCCAGTAATGTGATGATCTTTCTCCAAAGCTCACTCCCTCACCATTGGACTCTCCATTCCTTAGCCCTAAATTCCAATTATTTACCCTCTTTATCTGCTGGCTTCCATCTACTGGGTAAAGGCAGAAAGGCTGCTGGACTTAGTTCAAAAACCTCAGCATAGGTCCCAGCTCCCACTCACTAGCTGTGGGAAGAGAGCAAATCTGTCCATGGCCAGATGTCCATGGCTCCCGTCTTTCTTACCTGTAAACTGGGATTAGCAATCCTTCCCTCACCTCTGGGCCAGAGGCTCCTGGAGAGGATGCAAAGCTTCTCAAAAGGGCACAGGACTTTTTCATCACCAAGATCACAGCCATCCTTGTGAAGGATCGGTCCCCCAAAAATCTGAGAAACAAACAGCTATTTAAATTTCCATTTTTTTAGATGAGGAAAATGAGAGCCAGAGGGGTGACAGGAGCTGCCCAATTTTAGCAAAAAGAAAAAAAAAATCCTGAAAAATGTGAATCGTTACTGCAGAGGGGGCCATGTCCTGGAGGCAGTATCACAACGATGACCAAGGAGACCGCTTAGTGCCCCAATGCCACCCAACTCCCCACCCAGCCTCCGCGGCCCTGGATGCTTCCCCAGACCCGGAGCCAGGACCGACACGAACTGTTTCCCCTTGGTGCCGCCTCCAGCTTTCACACGCTCGAGTTTGCTGGAAAAATCAAACACTGCCACGTGTGCAGGTGACACTTTCTGGGCACGTGCTCATTCCGGCCAGTGCAGCCCTGCGAGTCACTCTGGGGCCCAGCCTTTGGGCATGGGCAGAGCACAAGCTTGGGAGTCCAACTGGCCCGGGTTCAAGTCCTCGCTCCCCGACATGGTCCCAGGCCCTCGACCCTCACAGGTGCAGCCTCCTCATCTGTAAAGTGGGAATGATAATGCTCATTTCTGAGTCATCCAGAGGATGAACTGACACGGCACGTCCCGGCACAGAGTTGCTCACTAAATGGCCACTCCTGCCTTTCTTCCAGGCAGCCAGCTCCATACTGGACGCTGGGGACCCAGAGAACTGAGGCCACGGTCCCTGCCGCTGAAGAGCTTTTTCACCAGCTCATGGGTGTGGCCAAATGGATCCTCATGAGAGAACTAAAGACCATAAACTCCAGTCAAATGCTGAAGGGACGCATCCAGTGAGTTTCTAGTGATTGTGAGCTCAGAGAAGGCAGATGCCACTGGGAGCTGGAGGAGTCAGAAAAGACTTCCTGGAGGAAGAGGAGGGAAACTGAAGGACTGCCAGCAGATAGTCATGGCACAGCCGATGGGGGAGCCGTATGGAGGCCAGGAGGGACGGTGCAGCGACAGCGACACCAAGGAGTTGGCTCTAGAGCAGCATTTGGAAGCGTGAATGGGCCGTGCAAAGGACAGACGGCGGCAGGGTCGCCGTGAGCATGCGGGCAGGCAGAATAGTACTTGCGGAGTCACAGAGGTGTGACATGGCCCAGGCACACGAGGAAGTACTGGACCAAAAAGAAGGAGGTGTTGGCTGGAAAGAAAGACAGAGGGCAGATCAGGAGAGCCTTGAAAGCCAGGCAAAAGGGCCTAGAGTTAGTCCCACAGGCAATGAGGAGTCACGGAGGCTTCTATGGAAGGGACTGACACGAACAGATTGGAGGTTTAGAAAAACAGTGTGATTAAGAGGGCCTGGGCTATGGACACTGAGAGTAAAGTTGGAGGCGGGGGACCAGAGGGAAGGTTCTGTGGTGGTCCCACTGACAATCAAAAGCTATCAAGGAGACCCAGGATGGACTTGAGACAATTTAGGAAGTAAAACTGCTAGATCTTTATTATGGCAAACTACACAGAACATAAAATGTACACTTACACCACTTTTAAGAGTTCTGTGGCGTTAATCAGTTCACCTTGTTATGCAACCACCTCCACCGTCCAGGTCCACAATGTCTTCTTTTTCCACAACTGAAACTCTGTCCCCATTAAATGTTAACTTCATCCCCGCCTCCCATTCTACTTTCTGTCTCTGAATTTGAGGACTTTTGGGACCTCCTTTAAGTGGAATTATACAATGCCACTTGCTTTTTGCGACTGGCTTATTTCACTGAGCATCATGTCTTCAAAATCCGTTCATGTTGTAGCAGGTGTCAGGATTTCCTTCCTTCGTAAGGCTGAATGATATTCCGTGGTATGGATGGACCACACTCCGTTTAGCCATTCATCTGTCATGGCCACCTGGGCTGCTTCCACCATCGGGCTGTGATGAAAAGCACGCCATGAACATGGATGTACAAATACCCCTTTGAGACCCTGCTTTCAATTCTTTGGGGTTTGCACTCTGAAGTGGGATTTGCTGGATCGTATCGCAAGTCTATGTTTAACTTCTTGAGGAGTTGCCATATCTTCCAAGCTGGCGGCGCCTCTTCACACTCCCAGCCAGCCCTGCGCACGGGTCCCAATTCCTCCACATCCTTGCCAGCGCCTGTTATTTCTGGGTTTTGATAACAGCCGTCCTAATGGGTGTGAGGCAGTAAATTGCTTGATCCTGATGAATGACAGCATGGGAGGAGCTGAGGGGAGAGGAGCATGAGGAGAAAGAGAAGGATTCTGAGTTTGCAACTTGGCCACCTAAGTGGATGAAGATTCACCTGCTGAGCTGGGTCCCTGGGAGGGGAAATCGGCAGGAGGAAGAGCCCACAGGCCACTGAGCTTGAGGGTTCTGTGGGACATCCTGGTTGAAGATGGGAGTCTGTAGGTCTGGGAGAGTCTGTGCTACAGATCGGAAAGTCACCGGCATACGATGTGAAGCCACAGCAAGAACAAGGTGACTTAGGAAGTATGGGATATGGAGAAAAGGGGGGAGACCAAGAACTGAAGCCTGGGGTCCCTCCATTTTAGGAGCAGAGCAATGAAGGCACCCACCAATGGAGCCAGAGGAGGAGCCTGAGAGATAGGAGGAAATCCAGAAAATCATTCTGAGGTTGCATCGTCTAGGATGGGGTTCTGCTATAAGCAACAGAAAATCCCAATCGGTGGCTTAATCAAGATAACAATCTCCGTTTTCTCTTGTATAAAAGAGGTGAGGGGGAGGCAGCCCACCACCATCATAGACTCAGGCCTCTCTATCTCTAGCTCTGCTTCTCCTAGCCCTGATTTCCACATTCAAGGTCACTTCATGGTCACAAGATGGCTGCTGTAGGTCTAGCCATCACGTTCACGTTCTGGCAGCAAGAAGGAAGAAGCAAAAGCTGATTTGCCTCCTAGCTGAGACCACCCAAACTCTTTTAAGGGGCTTTCTGGAAGGCCCTTCCCACTCTGCCCCCAGAGCTGACACCTCACTGGCCAGCCCCTGGTGCGAGGGAGGTTGGGAAATGTGGTCTTTCAGCAGAGCACTCTGCTTTCCCAGAAGTCTGAGTTCTGTCAGTAAGGAACCCGGGGAGAATGGCTGTAGGGGAGGCCACTGGCAGGCTCTAACACAGAAGGGAAAAGAACTCTCCAGAAAGAAAAAGTAGTAAGATGCATTAGCGAAGGTGTAAAGGGTTAACCACTGGATTAGGCAATGAGGTCTGCAGGAGGACAAGGGAGGGCAGGCAGCAGTGGCTTGAAGCGTGAAGGGGGGACATGAAGACATGTTGGCTGACCACACTTGGGACCAGCTTGCTACCCAGAGAGAAGATGCCCTGGTTTGGGGTCCTTCCCTGGGAGATGAGAGGACCAGGCATAAGAGGCTGTGAGAGTGGGGCCAGAGAAGGGAGGGGAGGGGAGGGGAGGGGACAGGACGGAGAGAACAGGAATCAGTGAAGGTGCGGGGCTCCAGGGGTGAGGGGGGACAGCAAGGGTCCAGAAGAGAGAGGAGGGAGCAGCGGGCCACACACCACGCAGGCGGCCTCCACCTGGGGACCAGAGGACAAAGGATGGCATGATGGGGGTGGATGGTTGGGGTGGGAAACCAAGGATGTTCCCACCAAGGCCTTGGTTCTTGATGAGGCAGTGGGCACAGTCACCTCTTCCCTGGGGACGTGGATGCAGCTCTGGGGGGCGGAGGAGGGTAGTGATGAGGGCCTGGAGAGGGGACCGCCCGCCACAAGAAAAGCGAGTGCTAAGGGCCCACTGCGACTGGAAAACGTGGGTCAGGAGCGGCTGTGACCCACTGGGGAGTGACTTCCTTCAGCAACACTCTGGTGAGCAAGCAGCGGAGAGAGGAAGGTGGGTGATGGGGACTGGGGCTCTGGGGCAGATGGAGACCTGGTGGGGGGAAAGGAAGTGCTCAGCAGAGCAACACCGAGGGTCTCCGTGCAGGGTCCAGGAGGGTGGGAAGTGGTTCCCATCAGGGCGGACGGCTCGGAGTTAGGGTTCCAGAGGGGGCAGTCCTGAGGGGCAAGGCCCAGGGAGGCAAAGGCAGCGGGCAGCTGAATGGATGATGGCGGCACGGAGTAGAGGGAAGGGTGTGAGCCAAGTCTCCAAGGAATGGGGAGGGTGGCAGGTGGGGTGGTGGGGGCAGAATCAAGGAGGACCCCAGCCTGACAGAAGATGGCAGGCTTATGAAGGAGGTCCCCAAGGGAAGCAGGGTCCTAGAAGGGCTGGGGAGTCAGCATCAGACAGAGGAGGTGGTGGAGCATCTGTGAGCCGTAAGGACACCCGGGACCAGTACATGGGACCAAAGACCTGGGCAGCGACAGAGTCGGTGAGGGGAAGGAGGCAAGGCAGTAAGGGGATGAGAGGAAATTGAGCTTGTAGGGCAGACTTGGTTATCCCATTTCACAGATGAGAAAACAGAGGCCCGGAGAGAAGAGACTCACCCACGGCCACACGGGGTGACTGAACTTGAACTGGCCCCAGGCCTCTGCTCCCACCACTCAAGCCTGCACAGGTCCCTTCACTCTCCAGGCCTCCATTTCCCCATCCAGAAAATGAGAAGAGCTGGTGTGGTCACTGGACCCTAGCTGTGGCCCATGAAGACTGGGCAACAGCCTGAAAGTTCTGGGGGCGAGAGATCCCTTCCCCTGGCCCTGCCCTTTTCACTGAGTCACCCCTGAAATGACAGAACTTTAAAAATTTCAAGTCTGTGTTGGGTCCTCAGAGGGGCTGAGTCACCGAAAGGCCGGAGGCTGGAGGAAGCCAGTGACTGCTGCAGGTGATGTCGGGCTGCCTCCAGGACCATAACCCAGGTGCCCTCTCTCACCGGGGCCTGCATCGCATCCAACCTTGCTACCCCGTCTATGCTGATGTCCATCCGCTACACGCCGCTGGGCCCACCTTCCCACAGCCAGGCTGCTCCTTCTCCCTCTCCCGCTCTGAAGTCCTCCATGGCTCCCCATCGCCTAAAGAAGTAGTCAGGTTCTTACACAGCCCGCCAGGTCCTTTGTGATCCAAACCCATTGCCTCTGTAGCAACACCACCCACAAGTCCTCCCCTCCACACTCTTGCTCAGCAACTCCAGGCCAGGGTCACACCACCCCGCCACCTCCACCCAATGGAGGATGCTCATTCCTCTCTGCCAATCCAAATCCTACAAACATACAGCCATAACCCCAATGTTTCCATGTCCTCCAGGGTCATCCGTGGCCTTAATTTCAAAATACAATCATTCCAAACTCCATGCCCCAAACCGCAGGCGATCCAGTGCTCTTCTGGGTATTTCTGACACCCTAGGAGGCTACGGCTCCCACCTCCTAGTTCTGCTCTTGGCCAGAAGCACGTCTCCGCCGTACCCTGCGTCTGCCAGCCCTTCTCTGCACCTGCGTGCAGTCTCTGCCCTGACTGCCTCATCCCCAGGGCCCCACAGACTTGAGGCTGTGTGAGCCATAGTCCTCATGGAAGGTTCGGGGAAAGGAGAGGGTTCTGAACCTAGCCAGCAGCACCATCAAAGTGAATGTTCCACTTACTGTCCAGAACGTTCCAGGGCCCTCCCTGCCAGCCCGCTCCCTGGCTCTGGCTGCCCTCATGCTCCCAAGCCCCTCTCTACCGAGGGGACCCTGTTCGTGTCCACTCTGTTCCCAGTCCAGGGCCTCCCAAAGTGTCCGTGCAGCGGCCAAGAAACAACACCCAAACTCCTGCTCCTCCTTACACAGAGCCACGTCCTTCACTTCTCCTCCCAGACCAGGCCGCGTGGTGCGACTGGGGACCTTCCCTTTTCTTTCATAACCAAAAAGGGCCTCTCAAGGGGTCTCCCATAGCAAAAGCGCAGGCCCCTTCGGTGACAGCCCCATCCCAAGCAAGGGCAGCTAGCTGCCTTTAGTCCCTTACTTAAGTAGCAATGTTTTTGTTTTCACAGAATAGAATTTTAGAGTCAGTAGCGGAACCACCAAGTCCAAGGTCATTTAACAGATAAGAGGTGGACTGAGACCCAGAGATCAGGATCCCACACAAAGCAAGCCCAGCAGTTTAGTGCCAAGCCTGGGCCAGAACCTAGTTCTCTGACTCGGGCTCTTGGGCTTCCCTACTCCCCACATCGCCTGCTCTTCCGTGTCCAGGACAAAGGGGAGGAGGTAAGGAGGGAACTGGCACCTACTGGGGACCTACTATGTGCCGGGCCTGGTACTAAGCACTTTCTGGGAATGATGCCATTTAAACCTCAGGTCTACTCTATTATCCCCATTTTACAGATGAAGAAACTGACACGCAAGGAGGAAGCCCACAGTCAGCCACTCAAGGCCTATCAGCTCAGCCCTGCAATTATAACCAAGCCCAATTCTTTAAGGATCATACCCAGCTCGGTCTGAAGTGGGGTTCCTCTTCTGCACAACAGTAAAAGCAGACGCTGGTGGAGTCCTTGCTTGTGGCCAGCACCGTATGAACATTTCCCATGATTCATCCGCATCCCGGGAAGCTGTAGAATTATTCCCATTTTACAGACAAGCAACCCGAGGATCGGAGAGGTGAGGTGTCTCTCACCGTGGATTAGTGGTGGAGGGAGACTCACACCTAGATCCATCTGGCTCCAAGGCAATATTCTCTCCACTCCCCTTCTCCCTTCCTGCTTGGGAGAGGCAGGTGTGGGCACCAAGGCCTGTTCCTGCCTCTCCCCTCTATCCTACCAGCTCCAGGGCCTCATTTAGCCCCACTCGTGGATTCGCTTTTGGGCACCTGGAATGTGGTTCTGGACATCGTGTCAGCCTAGAAGGGGCAGCCCCTCCTGCCCCGCACTTCCCGCCCAAGCTCTGCACAGAGGATTCGGTCTATGGCTAGGAGAGACCCCTCTGGGCAAAACCCAGGCAGCCTGGCTTAGGTTGTTCCTCACTGGAAGTTCACTCAGGGACTGAACTAGCTGACCCTGGGGTCTCATCCCAGCCAAGATGGGGCAACCCCCTTCCTCCAGGCACTTTCACCACCGCCCTCCCCTCCCATCCGGTTGCTGAGGAAGAGGCATTCAGCTCCTTTATCCCAGGAGGTGGGATAGATCTGCAGATCTGAGGGACGTCTCCCCTCGAGCTCCAGGGTTGCCAGCAACAGAATCCAACTGGGCTTCCTTCCGCTGGAGGGGCACTGACTGGGAGGCTGCAGGGGGCTCACAGTGGAGGGCCGCTAGGAGAAGCAGGTGCAGATTGAAGCCCAGGAGAAGGAGGGCTTGAATCTGTCCCAGCAGCCCCAGCAACCTCTCAGCTCAGAGCCGCCCCCCCCCCCAATCTCGGAATGACCCAGTCCCTGTGGCTGACGGAACACGGTGACCAGGCTGGCTTTTGCAGGTCACACGTTCCACCCCTGAGAGTGGGGAGCCTCATGCAAACAGTAGACTAAGGGTGGACAGGGGTGAGCCCCAGGGCTCCTGGACACTGGACAGTCAAAACCCAACCATCTGCCTCTGCAACAGACCTCAGACATTGCTTCCTCCATGTAGGCAGACTAGAGGTTTCTCTGGCTTAGACATCCCTAGAGACGGTAAACAGCCAGGGAATAACCTCAACTCCAATCCCAGCTCCATTTCAAGCCACGAAACCTTGGCCAAGTCACTTCACCTCCCTGAGCCTCCACTTCCTCATCTGTAAAATGGAGAGAACACTGACCCCTTGGAACTGTGAAAAATTAAGAAGTTGGTTGCAAAGACACACACCATGGTACAGCCCCTGTAGCAGGCCCACAGAAAAAGGCCACCTTTCTCTCTTAATCAATCCCACTGGCTGATTGAATCCTTTCTCTTGTCTTATCCAGATTGCCCACTGGCCCCATCCTCAAAGCCTGTGGGAAAGTAACGTCTCCTTATTGGGTGACTACAAGAGCAGGGCTCATTGGGTGGGTCCTACCAGCCCCAGATGGAGACACCTCCCGGGCCCAGCCTGGAGCCCCTGAGATGTGATGACCTGCCCCGAGTCACCGCGACAAACAAAGCCTGCAGCTCCCCCCGGCCATGGCCCCCCTCCCACGTGAGCCCATTTATCGGCAGCATCTGGGCCCAGCCAGCGCCGCCAGGGCCGGCAAGGCACTTGATGAAGCCCCAAGCCTGGACCTGCCAGGCCTCGTCGGAAGCAGAGCCGCTGGGCTCCCCTCCCTGGGCCCCCCTCCCTGGGCCAGGCCACCTGGGGCTTCAGAAGTGCTGGCGGCAAAGGGCCCCGTACTTCATTCATCCCGCGAGTGTCTCCCCACCCTTGGCCCACTCCTGCCACCTTTCTCACAGTGGCCAAGACTCTGCCCCAGGCTCCCCCTCCTCTTACTCACCCACCAGAGGCCGCAAACGGCTGGGCCCTGGGCCAGATCCAGGCTGCAGACAGGTTCTGCGGATAAAAGCATGGCCTCTGGAGCCAGACTGGCATTTTCGAGCTCTGTGTCCTTGGGCGAGTTACCCGGCCGCTCCGTGCCTCTGTTTCCTCATCTGCAAAGTTGAGATAAACACCTCACAGAGTTGGTGTGGGGATAAGGAGCTTGGAATAGTCCACAGGAAATACACCCCAATTTTGCCTTTTATTAAATTTGAGCCAACATTTTAAAATAAGGAGATTTCACAGAAAAAATCCAGGTTTCTGGCTCTTCTTGAAAAACCAAAAGATTTGGGAAGATCCATTCCTTCAAAGCACCAGCTGGCCTCCCTTTGCAGCCAGTGGTTCTCGGCCCTGGCTGGACCTTAGAATTGAATTAGGTTCAATTTAGTAGCTGCGCCTGGGGAGTTACTAAACTATTTCACTGCCTGGGCCCCACCTTCGACCAATTAAGTCAGCTTCCCCAGGGATGGGGTCCAGGAAGCCTACGTCATAAGGGTACCCCTGGTGATTCTAAGGGGTCGCCAGGGTCCAGGGCCTCTGCTTTAGGCAAACTATGAATTTCCCAGTTGGCCATGGTGACATTTGCTCTTTATCATTTCACAATGGTTTATTTTAATTAGAGAACAATTATTGGATCCCTGCCCCTTTAAAACTGGGAAATAGAAGGAGACCCAGAAGACCACAGGATCTCGCTCACACCTGACTCAGCTCATTCATGTGCCCACCTGGCCCTGCAAAGCAGCAGCCTGTGACCCTTGTCTCTGCCCTCCCCCTGGCCAGCCTTATCCACATACCATCTCAAAGACCAGTAACTTCCAAGTCCTCACCTTTAACCCAACCGCCTCTCTCGCTGAGCACAGCAAGAACCCTTGCTTCTCAGTGCCTTCATCTCTAATGCCTTTCCTGCCTCCTTCCCTGGCAAAATTCTACTCATCCTTCATGGCCCTGCTCAAGGGCCACCTCCTTCAGGAGGCCCTCCTCAACTTGCCAGGAAAAACTAAAGTCCTCCTCCTTGAAGTCTCCCACTAAGCTGGGAGCTTGTCAAGAGGGAGGTTATACCTGGAGCCCCAAGACTTAGTTTGGAACCTAGCTTCCGGACCTCACAGCCTCTGCATTCACACAGCTTCCCTCCCTCACCACTCCCCTTCGCACAGGCCTCTCCTCTCCTGGCCTCTGAGCCTCTTTCCATGTCTCCATCAAGCTTCAGTTCCTACTACTGACTGCCCCCATCTCTCCTCATTTCTAAGCTCAGGATGGCATTTGCTCAGGCCACTCCAGCTTCTCACTGAGCCACAGTCGGGCCCTGGATTGGCTACTCTTGGGTCAAGGGGGGGAGGGGGTCATGAGGTGCAAACATGGACTCCTTGAGCAGGGATGAGGACAGGAGAGCCTCCTCTTCATGGCCACGGCAGACTCACTGACTGCCATGTGCTGTACACTTCCCCTGCTGGGTCTCAGGGTTCCCCCTGCTGACACCTTCAATGACCCCACTCCTCTCTGTTCTCTTCCCTTGCTCAGCTCCTCCCCAGTCCCCTCTCCCGTCTCCAGGCTTCCACTCCATCCAGAGACAGCTCACGGGCACGGGGCCTGCCTCCTCCTCTCCCTTCTCTTGCAAACAAACCTGTGCATGGTGACTTCATAAGACGTCTGGAGAGGTCATCCAGAGTAACTACAGGATGCGCGATTAGATTCGAAGTTCAGACACACAATGAATAATTATTTAGTATAAGTATGTCCCAAATATCGCATGAGACATACTTATTCTAAAAAAAATAGTATTTGTTGTTTACCTGAACTTCATATTTAAGGAGACATCCTGTATTTTCGTTTGCTAAATCTAGCAACTCTAAGGAGTCTCCTCAGCGAGGCCAGTGCCAGCGGAACTCACACTCCACAGGGAAAACAGGTCCCTGCTGCATCTTGGTTGAGTTACACTGAATGTGCCTTTTCCAAGAAGCCCATCGATCGGGGGTGATGACAACTGGATGCTTTTCTAAATGAGTCTCAGAATTCCAGCACCACTCCACCCACGTGTCCCTCAGGGCCCTGGAGTGGCTTGAGAGAAAGGGATTCTTTGGCTCCCGCAACCCAAGAGTCCAATCCGTGTTACCAGGACCCAGCTCCTCTCTCTCCAGCTCACTCCCTCTCCTATGTGTCGCCTCCGCTGACACGCAAGCCCTTCACCTCCACCTTGTGCCACTGCAAGACCTTCGTCCCGCTCTACAGGTTAAATCCTCCAAGCCATGGTGGGCGCCTCCTTCCCAGCAGCCCCAGCAAAACTCTCGCTACTTCTCCTTGGCTCTGATTGGGTCATTTCCCCATCTCTGAGCCAATCACTGTGGCCAGGAGAATCCAATGCTCTGATTGGCCAGACCTGAGTCACATGCCATCTCTGGCGCCAGTGGGAGGAGCCAGGACCCCAGAGCTCGTTCTGGGTGCTGCGCTGGAGGGAGGGAAAATGGATCCTGCCGGGGGGCCGAGAAAGCCGGATGGCCGCTGTGATCCTGCAGGACACACCCTCTGCTCATCACACCCTTGCAGCTGTGATTCTGACATTGTCAAGAGGAGCACCTCTTTTCCATGTGAGCATTTTCCCAGATTTTACATTTAGTGTTGGTTAGATGATAAACCACCTAATAATTTTTTTAAATGTGAATTCAGGAATTCCTTGAAACTGATCTGTGTTTCATTCATCACTTCAGCATCAACATGTATCTATGTATCCAGTCTGCAGACAATGCCTAATGCCTGAGAATGCACTATGACCTTGAGGACCCCTCACAATTAGGCTAGTCTGCCTTCCCAAGAACGGACCCATGGTGGAATAGCCAGAACCCGGTGTGAGATCACCCAGCCTGTGTTTGACAAGGCTTCTCAGTGAGTCACAGACCCCTTTGCCACCTTGTCACAGCCCCTTCTGCAGGTGTATCACTGAGGACTCTGGTTGCAAGCAACAGAAATGAACCTTGTTAGCTTCAGCAAAAGGAAATATACTGGAAGGCTACCGAGAGCTCACAGAATCTGTAGGGGGCTGGAGCCCCAAGCTTGGGGACCGAGGATGTTGCAGAGGTTAAATAGCACAAGGTACAACATTGGGTTCATGACCAGAATAATACAGTAAGGATCCTGACTTGAGGATGGATGGATCAGGCTCTTTAGTTCAAGATTCCATTCCAGTAAAGGAGCTTCTGTTTAGCCTACCTTTCGCTAGGGAAGGTGAGACTCCTGCATTCCAGGAAAGGAAACCAGAGTGCTGGCCTGCAGGGGGGCTGATGCTGGCAGCCAGAAGCAACGAACATTCCCTGCAACGATGACACACCCTTCAGGTGGCTTAGATGGGGATACACCCTCCTCAATCAGGAGCATAGTGGTCAATTATTTTGCTATTAGAGTTGCCACCACTTTTTTTTTTTTTAACTTTTTGGTTATTCTGGAAGCATTCACTTGGGTTTTTCCCTGCTCTGGTTTTCTTTATGTTTCCATAATCTTTCGGCTCCTGGGTGGTCTGGTTTCCGACAGGCAGCAGCGTCAGCTGGTTCTCACAGAGTCCATGTGCTCATGGAGGAAATGTGGCCTGAGCCGATGTCACCCCACCCACAGAAAGGAAGTGACAGCTACACAAGGTGGAGAAATGTATGGGTTGTATCCGTAAGGATGATTTTGGTTACTAGGAACAGAAAACCCTATTCAAATAGCCATAAATAATAAAGGCAAATCATTGACTCACTTTTTTTGAGAAGTCCTTCAGGAAAAGCTTGATCCAGCTTTTAACAGTGCCAGCAAGGACCCAGTTTCTCTCACTCAGCTTGTCTTTTTCAAGACTGGCTTCCCTATAGTCTCAAGACACATGCCAGAAGTTCCCAAGACAAAGATCACCTCATTCGTGCTGAGTAGGGTTATCAGAGAAGCATCTTTGTCCCAGAACCCTCACACAAGTCCTGAAGTTCACTCTGACGGGACAGGTATGGGTCACCTGCCCAACTGTAAACCAATCACTGAGCCAGGGGGTTGAAATGCACTTACTGATTTAGAGCCAGTCCCTGGAGCTGCATGGCTCCCCAAATCAAAACCACCGCTATCCAGGAGGGCAGGGGCCAGGGAGGAGAAAGATACTGGGAAAGCTACCCATACCCACTGCATTGGGCAGCCACATACATGGGAGTTAATGACTGATTGTCATAGCTGCAGTTCCCATCATGAACCACATTAAGCATTTCACATGCATGAGTTCTGTGATTTAATGAATCATCACAGAACCCTGGGAGGTAGCCTTTTAATCCAATTTTGCAGAGAAGAAAGCAGGTTAAGTGAAGTAACTTGAAGTATCATGGCTGTTATGAGTCAGAGGCAGGATATGAACCCAAAATCTGTCTGATCCCCAAATCCATTTTCCTAACCTTCACCCCAACCTGAATCTCAGTCATGTGCAAGGCGCCACTGGGGACACCAAGAAGGGAAGCACATTTATTCAACAAGCCTTAACTGAGCACCTACTGTGTTGGGCGTTCTTCCAGACTCTTGTGTACTCAACCCACTGGGAATCGCCATTTATGGCAGTGTTGGGCACTTGACCTGCATCACCTCACTGAATCCTTAAACACACTCTGGGGAAGACAGTCTTATCTCCTCTGGATCCCTGAGTTAACAGAGGGACAGTGAGGTCAATTTACTCCATGTCACCCAGCTGGTTGGGCAACTCTACTTGGTCTCACTTTCTGGGAGCTAAGTGGTCATTCTCGAAGGTCAGATCGGCAAGAAGACAGCCACATCCGCCGAGGTCCCCCAAGAAATCCAGCCTGGAAGAGCGCAGGCACACGTGGATCGAGGCGTGCTGAGAAGGCGTCCCGGGGAAGAACAAGTTTCCTGAGGTGTGGAGAATAAGGGTACAAGTTCAAGGTACCCAGGCTGCCACTGGTGCCCACCACTTCCTCCACGTTGTCTGGGCATTTGTCTGCAGTATAACCTGCTTGACTGTCTCAGTACTATTCAAACCCCAGGGTTAGCATAAGAGAATTTTAACAATTAATGATTTACAGGCCCCTACTCAGTGCCAAGACTCCATCTCAGCCTTGCAGTCACCCTGCAGGGTAGGAACTGTAGACATCATTTTACAAGTGAGGAAACAAAGCTCATAAGTCACGGGGCCAAGACTGAACCTCCAGGCCTAACAATCTCCTTGCTTGTCATGAGACACTGAGATTCCCCAGGCTACACACACACACACACACACACACACACACACACACACCTTTATACATCAGAAGAGGCTAGTGTCCTGTCTGAGTCATCCTCCCCTAGGCTGCTCTCTGACTGGCCCTCTGACTTGGGCTCTTGGCTGTGGACTTTCTAGAACCCTCAGGCAACTCATTGTGGGTGTTCTCTCGACAGGAGGCTGGGTTCCCCGAGCTTCTCTAAATCTGCCACTCGTTTCTCGAAGCCTTAATGGAGGAGATAAGGACAGAGAGAAACCTATGAAGAAGAAGAACTGGGAGTTTTTTAATGATTTTTTTTTTAGATTCCATTATAGTGAACACACAGTGTTACACAGTTTCCGGTGTACAATGTAGTGATTCAACACTTTCATATATTACTCTGTGCCCATCATGACAAGTGTCCTCTTTATCCCCTTCCCCTATGTCCCCCATCCCCCAATGCACCTCCCCTCTGGCAAACCCCAGTTTGTTCTCTAGAGTTAAGAGTCTGTTTTTTGGTTTGTCTCTTTCTTTCCTTTTCTTAAGTTCCACATACGGCTGAGATTGTGTGATATTTGTCTTTCTCTGACTGACTTATTTCGCTTAGCATTATACTCTCTGGCTCCCCTCATGTCATTGCAAATGGCAAGATCTCATCCTTTTTATGGCTGAATAATATTCCATTGTGTATATACACACATCTTCTTTATCCATTCATCGGTCGATGGACTCTTGGGCTGCTTTCATACTTTGGCTATTGTAAATAATGCTGCAGTAAACATAGGGGTACATGTATCCCTTTGAATTAGTGTTTTCATAGTCTTTCGGTAAATACCCAATAGCGTGATTACTGGATTATAAAATAGTTCTATTTTTATTTGTTAAGGAAACTCCAGCTGTACTCCAGCTATACTCCAGCTGTATATTTCCACAGTGGCTGCCAGTTTGCATTCCCACCCTCAGGTGCACGAAGGTTCCTTTTTCTCCACGTCCTTGCCAACACTTGTTGATTCTTAAGTTTTTGATCTTAGCCAGTCCTCCAGGTGCGAGGTGATCGCTCATTGTGGTTTTGATTTGCATTTCCCTGATGATGAGTGATGCTGAGCATCTTTTCATGTATCCGTGGGCCATCTGTATATCTTCTTTGGAGAAATGTCTGTTCATGTCTTCCGCAAAAATGTGGGTTTTGAAGACAGACCTGAGTTTGAATCTGGGCTCAGCCACCCACACGCTTTGTGATCCTGGGCAAGTCATCTCCTGTCTCTGGGCCTCAGTTTCCTGAGCTGTTAAGTGAGAGCCAGTAATCCCCACTCCATGGGCTGCTGTGTGAACCAGAAACCTAGAAATTGTCCTTCAGGTGTTTCTCCCCCACCCCTCTGCCATCCACTCAGGTACCAAGTTTTATTCGTTTTACCTCCAAAATATATTTCAAATTCATGCACCTCTCTCTGTCTCCTATGTCCCTTTTCTCATTCAAGCCACCATCATCTCCTGCCTGGACAACTAAGGTAACTAAAGAGATGGTTTTACAGAACCATACCTTCAATGATGCCAGCCCCAGTTCCAACTCTCCAGCGGCTTCCTGTTGCTTGCAAGGAAACTCCAAGATCCCTACTGTCACGTGCACAGAGAGGCCCACGTGGGCAGAGCCCACCACCCTACAGACCCATCACTCCCCCTCTCCCTGGGGCTATCTGCACCCAACGTCCCAGCTACACTGCTCCCTCTGCCTGGAACATTCTTCCCCAACCAAAGCCAGTTAATTCCTGCTTATAGGTCAAATCCCTATTCAAAGGTCACTTCCTCAGGGAAGCCTTCCACGATTTCTCAGACCAGATCAGACTCCCCCATTTATTGATCTCACCCTGTACTTCTCCTTTGTAGCCCCAATCACAATCACAATCATAATTACATAAGTATTGGCTGAATTGGTCCTTGAATATCTGTCTCCTTAGTCATGGGCACATTGTTTTTGCCTCTTCTTCAGGAGAACAACCCTCCCTCCCTGACCTAATGATTCCAGAGGTGGGTCCAGATTCAGATTGGATATATGTTTG